TCATGTTCATGACTGGTGGGGTGGATGGGTGGAGGCTTCATGTTCATGACTGGTGGGGTGGATGGGTGGAGGCTACATGTTGATGACTGGTGGGTGGGGTGGATGGGTGGAGGCTACATGTTCATGACTGGTGGGGTGGATGCGTGGAGGCTACATGTTGATGTGGGGGGTGCATACTCGTCTGGTGCACCCTGGTACTATATATGTGTTGGTGCACCGATTCACAGTACGAACCTGTGCACCAGTGGAGTATATACTATAGTGAGCTGGTGTACCATGTATGAATGGTGAAAAAGTACACTGTGTGCACTGGTTAGTGGTATACGATAAATAGTGCACGGATACACCATACGTGAATGGTGGGTGCATCAGTGCTCTGTAGCTGACTGGTGAATCGATGTAATATTCATGATTTCGTGTTGGTACGCCACATTTGGTATGTGCATCAGTGCCATCGTATGGGATTAGTGCCGTGGTATACTATATAAGAATGGCACGGCAATGCGCTACAGGCGTGGGTGTTTGTATACAGATGGGTTGTCGACAGCCGTGAATATAAAATGATTTAATAAATAGACGTTAAGCTGATTTTGTAGGTCACACAACCCATTTGCATATGGTTCGACGCGAGTGTGTATCCGTTAGCATGTTAATTAGGAAAGTTGTAGAAATTCGTATAGCATAGTTAATCATGGTGTCTTTACTGACAGAAATTGCACTTGTAGCGGTAATTTATCTTTGCATAACACAGAGCATCCTGATTGTTGCTAATATATATATATATATATAATGCAAGTCACATTTAGTGGCTGGGTGGGGGGGCTTCTCTCCCTATGGCTTTGTTTTTAAACCACTCATTCCCAAGCATGGGGCGTATGTACATCCCGCCTTTTTTTAGCTGAATTCTTTGCAACGGCGCCCTCTGGTGTGTTCGTGTAGACTGCCGCCGTCGCCGCGTTCGCGTTGCCGTGGTCCTCTGATCGCGGCGCGTCGTCGCCACTCTAACAGAAATCGTCGACGACGCGTGGCGATTGCCTCGCTCGTGTGGTTATTGCGTCGCTAGTTGATATTAAGCTGTTGCTTGCTTAGATAGAAAGTCGATCTGGATTCTCATGCTGTGGCGGCGTCGATGACAGCAGCGTAGGTTTCCCGTGCTCCCTACCGGAGATGGGCGGTTGTAAATGTCTAGGCGTGTGTCGGCCATTCTTGGAGACCAGCACACTGAGGAGATGGTGGTTCGAGATTCCGTAGTTGGATTCCTGCCGCGTCTGTTACTAATATATAATTTCGATGTCGAGATGAGGGAGGGTGAGCGTAAATTAATTAATTAAATAGCGCCGCGTGTAGGGGGCATCGTGTAACGAAGGCTAGAGTCGTCACTAATACCGCGAGCGTATCCATGCAGCCATGAACGTATGTATGACTGTGGCATATGTACACTCACTCCATGACATGTACACTCACTCCATGACATATGTACACTGACTCCATGACATATGTACACTCACTCCATGACATATGTACACTCACTCCATGACATATGTACAGTGAATCTATGACATATGTACAATGAATCTATAATATATATGTACTGACTCCATGACATATGTACAATGTGTACTGCTGACTCCATGACATATGTGTGGCCATGAGCAGAGTATGCATGATGTTCGTGACACAACGTGTAGTATATTGTATGGATATGTTTGTTACTAATACTACTGCATGCGAGACATTTGCGTCGATCCTCAGTCGTAAACGATGAGAGCTAGTAATTACGTGTAAGATAACACGTGTTAGATTTATAATATATAAATATATATACATACATATATATATATATGTATGTATATATATATGGGATGGCGATAGATTTAGCTTGTGCTGGTCCAAATAGTCTAGTCAGTTGTCAATGTTGTCCTCGTTTTTACATTTCGTAGGTAGTCGTGCCAGTCTCGCCTGATGTGCGTACGTTGGACAAACTGTCGAGGTGTTACGCTCGGAAGTAATTAATACCTCTGCGCTCACTGAATGTAACGTCTGCTTAGTTTAACGTTTGTTTGGCAAGATGGTGCCTGTTTTTTCTCGGCATTGTGTTTTACGTTAGAACTGCAAGGTATCATATACAGGTAATGTGAAGCAGTCACTCTGCTACGGCGTAGGAAAAGGTTTCTCCTATTTTTCTGAATTGTGTAAAGGTGTATTTTTGAATTTTGCAGAAAGTTGAATTTGACACCGTTTCCTAAATTGTTTAACAGCTACTGTGTGCGCGCGCATGTGGTTGGCCATAGTACTCCGAAATTATTATTTTTACTACGGTAGAATTAACCACGGTAGAATTAACCACGGTAAAATTATAGCTCAGTTACCCAATCAGAGGCCTTGATACACATAATTTAACTGCGGATAAATTGTTTTTACCACGGTAAAAATATTTATTTCTTAGTACGATGGCCAACCACATGCGCACGTGTATGTGCAGACTACCAGATTGTACGTAGATTCGTTGTCCCGCGTGTGCATGCGTGATGGGCGACAACAGCTGAACGTGTTTCATCAGATGTGTTGTATGAACGCGATGGTAATACTTGGCGTTACGAACGCGGGGGTGTAAATTGTTGTAGTCGTCATCGCCATCGTCCGTCATCGTTACTGTTGGAATATGTAGACAAGCACGCCAACCTCAAACGTATCTATCTATTGTTAAACCCCGATTATCCGAACGAGACGGGCAGGAAGTCTTTTGTTCGGATAACTGATTGTTCGGATAACTGATCTCCCCGTATTACCGTTTAATATTCACGGGACCTTGAGATGTTGTTCGGATAACCCGAAATTCCGATAATTGATGTTCGGATAACCGAGGTTTGACTGTATAGTATGCATACTGGTGTAAGTAGGCGTGAGTGTAGGGTAGAGAAGTCAGTGTAGCACGCGATAACGCCACTTATACCGCCACCACCATCACATCGCAGCAGCAGCAGTAGCAGCAGCAGCAGCACAGCAGCAGCACAACAGCAGCAGCAGCAGCAGCAGCAACAGCAGCAGCAGCAGTAGTAGCAGCAGTACCAGTAGCAGCAGTACCAGCAGCAGCAGCAGCAGCAGCAGCAGCAGCGCAGACAGATTTTGTACGAGTCACGACGAAATGCTTCACGTTTTAGGTTCTTGTATCGAGGGATTTTTTTTTAGATATTTACGTAGGAGTAGTAAGTACGGCGATGTTTAGGTTAGGATCGCAATATTAGGTTGACCGGCTAGGTCAGTTTGGATCGGGTTTTTCGATGTTTGTCTATTTAGGGTCTCTGCACCACAGCTATCAGGGCGCAGTAGCACCGAGCTAAGAAGCGGGGGAGGGGGGGGGATAGGTCGACTCAGTTTACAGGTTCTTGTATTGATCACTGATTGCCACGATGAACATATCCATTTGTAACCACGCGCGGGGGGTTCACTAGATACAATAATGTAACCTGACAACAGTAGGGGTACTACCCCCCCTACTCTTGTTAGGTTACATTATTGTATCTAGTGGTTCACGTGCACACGCGCGTGTGCATCGCGATCTGGGAGAGCTTTGTAACATCTTCGCCGTTGCTGCGACGCTGACCGCACATACCTCTCACGAGACCGTCACCACCGCTGCCGCCGCCGCGCGTGTAGGTGTTAGGGCTTCATGGTTTCCGAGTCATCCGCAACCATCTCTGTCACGTTGGACGATGACGATTCGTGTCTGACGTGTGTGTGGGGGGGGGGGCGACTTGTGACGGCGGGAATGCTAAGGATTTTTTGGAGGTGTTTGTAAGTCGTGTTTGTGCTCGTGCTTGATCCCTCATCAAGGCAAGGGGTTGTATAGATCAATAAGTTATGCCATAGAAAAGTTTTACAGTCTGATGCTGTTCCTAGAATATCGTCAGATTATTACAATTTCTAGGGCATAATTTATTGGTATAGATTGTGGTTTACTGTGAAACAGCACCTCTGTATTCATTTGTGTTCTGTAAATTTAAGTTTTTAAAACATTTTAAATCGACGTTTTCGTGCCGGCGAACATGTATGTAAGCGGGAGAGTTGTCACCGACGATAGTGCGTGTAAAAAAGTTTCGAGGTAGTAGCGATTAGTTCTTGAACGCTGTTGCTGTGATGTGCGTACTAGCATGTACACTTGTTGTCTATGTTTGTTCTCACACACAATTCGAGCCACCTCGTTTGAATTCAATACTACCGCAAAACACCCGATTGGTTATTGAACGACGTTGCCGCGATGTACTTACTACTATACTGCATGCGTATGTTGTGTTTGTTCTCACACATTGCGAGCCTCGCTACTACCTCAAAACACCTGAAATCACGGTCTGTCTTGTCCGGCTGTCAACCTATGATCAAGATCTTCTTCATTTGTAAACGATTACTTTTTGTTATGCAACGATGGCGAGACGGCTTGTCCATCCGAGTCGGATTTGTTTTTCCATCGAGTCTTGAAAGATCGGTGTGTAATCCTCACTCAAGAAATTCGGTTCTCATGGGTGTCTAGTGACTGTCAGAACTTTTCCTCCGTGGGCTGCACTTAGAATCTGCACCCACATTTAGTTCTAGTCACAGCTGAAGATATGTTGTGAGGTAATACTGCGGGTGGGTGTGAGAATTGGAAAATGTTTGAAATGTGAGGCTTTCAAAATTGGATGGATGGACGTTTATGAAAAAAAAAACACCATCGTATATTTTTATCGGTTTATTTTTTACGAGAATTTATCGTGGCTTTTATCCGCGCGTGGTGTGTACTGCTCAATATACCGCTTGCATTAGATAGTTGCAAACACAGAGAGAGCATTAATAAGAAAAGCAGTATAGAGTGGAATAATTTGCAGGCGTTATATGACTCGGTTATTTTTAGTCTTATTTCACATTGGTTATTTCACATGACCCGTCTCGTCGTCACAGTGTCTAGATGTAGAAAATTGCATTCATTCTTTCAGCGCGTTACCGGCTACAAGTTGTCGCTCGCGCCGTTGTCTAGGTAATGGCCGGGTCGTGACCTCTCGCGTGGTCGTTCACTTGTCCAGCTGTTAGACCGATTGTAACATGACATATGGCATCTTACGGTTCCGTGGGGAACCTGAGAGTTACTGTCTCTGTTAGGGGATTGATTGGGAAAAATAAAGCCACACTAGTAACAAGTGAAGTGAACTGGTTTAGTTTCGTGTGGGAAAATAGTTTTTAATTTCACATCTTACGTTCCATGGTTTACACTAGTTGCATTGCTAGAAATACATATACTACGTCTTCTTCAAATAGGTAAATATTATCATTACTACTAAATATATAGTACATCTTACCACCCTAGTTACTGACCAAGAATTAAATAAATTGTTTCAAGCCTGATAGTAAGTGAAGGTTGGCATAATTTCCTCTTTTCATGATTCGAGCAAACTTCTTACAGATATAAATACAAATTGTTTGAGAAAAATGGAAGATTTATCTTATAACCACTTATATGTAACAAAATGGTACATATAGAAAAAAAAACGTTACATAAACGTTACATTATATGTTGACTAGCATATAGTAATATAGGTGTGCTTAAATTGTCATGCATATGTGACCATTTTTCCGTCTACCTTTCTTGGAGTTGCATTTCTAAAAAAAACGACTTCTCTACCGCACAGTTAAATCCTGTTTGTTTGTAAAATTATCAGAACTGTATATTTGGGGTGCTGGAGCCTATCGTCAGAAGCAATATATATGACTTAACATTAGTCTTAACATTAACTTTTTCTTGTAAACCGCCGACAGAAATGTAACGTGTTAAGCGAATGAAAAACCCAAGTTTCCTCAACTTTACGAAACAAAATTCTACAAGCCAGGGCCCGGGATAGATGTTGCCTAAAACAAAAAGTTCCGTTTTCGACGTGTTTTCAATGGTTCATCTTCCTACTTCTTGGCCAGTTTCCAAAGAGGCACAGCGGTCGACTGATGATGCAAGAATGGATATGTTGTAGGGCTAGTTACCCTCGCAGACATGACAAGACAAGACTTGCTGTTTAATCCTGTGAAAAAAGGAAAAAGTGGTCGGTATCACGTACTGTAACTGAAAGATGCATGTTTTCCAAAACACTGGAGAGTCGGCTATCGATAAATGCTCTCGTTATTTTTGTTTTGCGATGTTATATGATGGAGTAATCGACCACGTATCATGTAAAGCACAATAAAAATTCAAGAATGTTGGAGACGTAACCTTTGCATTAAACACACTTGCTTACGTGCGAGTCGAAACACACCATAAATGCACTAACAACTCATTAGAGAAACGGTAAAGGGTACATGAGAAAGGATTCACTATGTTGTTATCACCGAGTAGCAGTGATAGAGATGAACTGAGCGAGTGCACTGGAGCAAAGGACTGCAGCAAAGAGACTGTCGAGTGACTTGACAGCACAGCCGTAAACAGTCTGGCCTAGTGAATTCTGGATTAGGGAGAACTACAGAAGGAATCGTCCTACCTCTCCCCACATGGAAGCATCCCAGTTCTCGAAGTATCCGGTGAAGGTCTCCGGCTCTGATCCCTGCTTGATCTCGAAGAACACGCACGTGTCCGCCTTACGCGGGCTCGGCTCCGACTTGAGGTAAGCCTGGTAAATCACAGGGGAAACGTGTTCCATATTTCACGCTACCCACTTACCAGTCCCTCACGCACAGACGGATAGAGAGGTAGTCTATTTTTTGTTAACATATTCGTCTGGTATTAGGTAGATTTTTCTGAATGTAAATCTACTTAACACACACAAAAATGTAGCTAATTAACAGATCTTATCAATCGAGGCTATAACCCTAATTCCGATTAACTTTAATGGAGGATGTTATTACGTATTCTTCATTTTGTTGTCAACAGAATGTGCAAACAATGAAATACTCACCATGCCAAGGTCATAAGCAGCCTTTTTCTCCTCATCCAGTGAACCCTTTCCAACCCAGATGTAAATCTATAATTAAGCAGGAGTAACGTTTTAAACATCATCAGATCCAACTATTAAACTGATTGTGACAATTTTAAATGTCCGTACTATATATGCACACTCTCTAAATGTAAAACATCAAGTATGTAACTGTGAAAATCGCAAAAGCTAAAGATCTATAACCCAAAACACGTCATTTGATTTATTATAGTTTTGGAAAATTAGTTAAATTAAAATTACTAATAAAAATTTGTAAGTATGGATATACCTCATCAGATCCACTGTCAAGAATCATAACATCGTCACCATCCAGATCCTACAGGGGGGGAAATAAACAAGTTTAACACAATTATATCACAGTTTTTGCTCTGGAAGATTGATTAACCAGTTATTTTATCTAAATATATTCTACTTAAATGTTGACTGATTTACAGCAGTAGACACTCGGTGGCCATTGAAATATAAGAGATGAAACATCTACATATTATGATCTGCCATGTCCATATTGCCATATACATGAATAAATAAAAACGAATACATTTTTTTTATAATGAAATAGCAATGCATAATACAATATTATATTGGTGCATCGGTGAATAAAAGTATACCATATTATCATATGATATTATGTGCAATTTCTGAGTGTGCACCTAAAGTGAATATACCCTGTAATTCATGGGATAAGCCTAGGGTAAAAGCAAATCAGTCACATAAATAAATTGACAAGCTTCAGTGAGTCTGTATCCACCACAATAAAACCAAACATTATCCCAAGCCAGCATACATTCCACCACCAATGACTAAAGCTTCGTCAATACCTCGCCAGGGACTGCATCATCAGATGGCAAAGCAAGGTCCTGAAAAGCCGTGGTGATTTTGTTTACTAAGCACTAAGCTTACTACGTAACAGGAAACATCAGACGACCTTCTCTATTTCATTCTCATCCTTGACTGATTTAAGCATAAATCACAAGATATGGCGCTTCCATGGATCTATGCTCTACATGGCTTCAAACATATATTGCCTGCCACATGGAATATTATTGAAAATGACGCTGTTAACATCTCAACATACTCCAGAGAATATGTTGCTTAACATGCGAATTTAGTCGCTATGAATCGTTGTTGAATAGATAGTGCACAACAATGCATTGAAGTATCTGCCTGTGAGATTCATGCCCATTTAACTGATGATTTGATCCCCAATTTGTTACTTTTTGCTACAATACTGTACCAACCCCGTCTGACGTATTGGTGTCGATGATGTCATCATTATTACCGGTGTTCGTTATCACTAATTACGTGCTAATTACCTCCTGCACAAAGTCAACTATCTCCTCAACACGCAGGCGGTTCCTAACGAGAGTGCACTGGAAGAGGCGCGGAGGCAGAGCCGGCGGGTGCGCCTGTAACGTAAGAACGAATGGACGGATAAATACACGATGTTACGCTGTGCAAGCGGTCCCACTCCCACCTCTGCATTATTAGATCTCCTTTTTACGATGACGCGTGCATACAATACACACATTTTTTAAACAACAAACATTTTTTACAATACATTTAATACTACATTTAAGCTTTAACATTAAACATTTAATTTAACATTTAATACTACATTTAACTTTAAACATTAAACATTTAACAGTTAACATTTAATTTATTTTTTACAATACAGACATCTTTTGAATAAAAACATTGGAGAGTTTCTCACCCAGACGTGCTGCGTCGGATATTCGCCGGGGCCGCCGAGGGCATCCCAGAATTCATCTGGCTCTAATCCTTCGTCTACTACCTGCGGTTCGCGGTCGGGCGAAATCATGGGAATGAGGTCTGTCGCCATGTCTAGTTCAACGTCGTCGGCACCCTGTGTAGCACGAGAATAATCTTAACGTCGAATCGCGAACGCGGAAAGCGTTTTCGTTGAACTCTCAATGCAGCGGAATTTGAAACTCTCACAAACTATTACTATTCTATGGAATTTAACTATTATGCAACGTTCCCCAAATTAACTCGTGGAACCAACACGTTGACTGGTGCCCTGCTATCGCCATTGTGTACCCATAGCCATAGCATACAGATATCAATCACACATAGATACACGTAAATGCACGTGCGCGCACACACGAGGTCAATCTAATAGTAAATTAACGCTGTCGACCACCAACAAGCTATATGTCTCCTCATGCATACTCTTGCTGTCGAACCTTAATTGCTGTTCACATAATACTGTAAGACCGACTATAGCCACGTGTCTTACATCACAGCTATATAGCTTCCAGTGAGAACAGATTATATAGGAGGTAATATATGACTCACTATAGCGCTCACACTGAAACTACAGAGTAAACCATTTCGGAGGGAGAGTAGAAATATTTACGCGTGAATTAAACTATTACCTTTCCTCGCCAGATGTAGGTGGCATTGGGCGTCTCCAACACAAACACATCCTCAGAGTTTAGAGACGAAGCCAGCTCGGGAACCTTGCGAATAAACAACGACGGTTTAGCACATACACGCCACCTGTCCATATATATATATATATACACGCACGCACGCACGCACGCACATGAGTCAGACACGACTGAAACAGGTCTCCTTAATAATACACAAATATCGTACGCATAATATCAAGAGCTAATAATACCTATTATATATTATATATAATAAGGTATTATTAGCTCTTGATAATATATATATATATATATATATATTTGCAGGGGTAGAAATTAACTTTTGAACAAGGGAGTCCAACGGACTCCCTGCCCTCAAAAAGAGGGAGTCCGCGGCAAAATGAGGGAGTCTGCAGTCTGAAGTTCAAAATTAAAGATATTATAACAACACATGTGCTTATTTAGAAGATTCATGCGGTTGCACGTCTGGCAAATTTTCTTTGGACATTTGCTGAAAAAATACGGTAATTCCATGAGGCCATGCTCTGGAATAAACTAGACTCCTGCATATGTCAAATCAGGAAGTCCGACAGTAAATCAGGGAGTATTTGACTCCTGACTCCCGTTAATTTCACATCCTGTATAGTGTATATGGTTGTTGTTGTGAAGCACCGAGGAAGAGACATATATGTTATCGAAAACTCAAAATAACACGCAATCAATGCAAAATAACAAATTGACACCTCATTCTATATACATATATATATATACACACTAATACTGGTAGCAATAAGGAGCAGGTCTATATATATGTACGTACCTGGACAGCACGTGTGTTGACGTCGCTGGTGCCGCGGATGTGGAACAGCCGTGTTCCGTCAACATCGTAGGTGTCGTGGTCGTGAACGTTCCTGAACCCGCTCGCTCTCCCGCCCTACGCACACAAGCAATGCAAGCAGCCAGGTTAGTGCCTCAAAGACGTGCGCCAACGTTGATATAGAGATTTATTTACTTGTTTGCTGTTTGCTTGCTGAATTATTTTTGACACATTATGGGATTCACTGTAAAAGGTCAAATCAAAAGAAAAAGATGTGTGTGAGTTTTATACCATTAAAATTGTTAAAATTCACATATGAATGGACATACCATGAATACGACCATCTTGCCCTTGAACACAGTCAGGAAGTGGTCTGGTTCTTCACCCTGTACTACTCGCACCTGTGGGTTGCAAGACACATTTGCAAATTTCATATAATAAAATATATTACACATTATATACATCTCACTATATTATTATATGATACATAGTCTTTGAGGTAATCTAACTTTGTTTTCTTTGTTCAATTTTATTATGTAACGTAACGTTCAACTACAAATGGCCACGAATAAAATCGTTTGTGAATCAGGAAAACTTGCGTATGAATGAGTAAAAGTTTGTTTATATACTAACCTGCACGGCCTTTCCACCAACTTCATCATCTAATTTCACTGCTAGGATCGCTGATGCTGCCTTCTCATCCTGTGAGCTTTTGAGACCCTGGAATTATCATGAGTATGCAATTATTTAAGCCATATCATGCTATTACTATTAGAGCATTCTAAATACTATATAACTATTCTAATAACTAAAATACTATACGTATTCTAACAAAAGTTCTATTTTCACTTCCAAAAATGGAGTTTTCTGTACTAAAACAACCGGAATAAACGTTCACGTATGTATTTTTACGCCAACTACCTGCCAGAAGTAGACAATGTAGAAGTCACGGTTGTCCTTCATGTAGCTGTACTTAAGGATGTAGCTGTCACCACCAAAGAACCAACCGTGAATAGATGGATCCACTGGCACCATTTCAAATTGCTCAATCCTCCACACCTACGACAATTATGCACAGAAATTAAATTCTCTGTCAATTTCGCGAGTTAATGTGGTCGAGATAAATGTAAAGTCAGACTGAATACATATCTAGTTGATTTAGAATTAAGTATAAAACAATCAACTTCCACACTCGTCTAAAGACAGTTCTGTCCAAAATTCCTGTGTAACAGCTAATGAAGAATTTAGTTTCAAGAATTCATGTTGTAAAATGAGTCCAGCTTAGTATTTAGCTTATTGGCACACAGTGTATAAAAGGTGACAGGTTTCTTCAATGATGCTACGGTCTATAGTTGCCTAACACAGTTAGAGCATCTCTCTCAGGCTCCAACATATTGTACTGATAAATAGCTACATTACTTTGTTTAGATTATAAGTTATTAATATAATAAATTTAATAATTTTTAAAAGGTAATATAAGTGAGTTGCATAAATATCTAGCTATCTTGTGCCGATACAACAACGTCGTGCAAAGAGTTAGCAAATTTCCCATCGATTCCCACACCCACCTCCAGGGAGCCTGATCCATCGTCAGGCATGAATCCGCACGCGCGCCCTCCGTGTTTAGCTAGTGGTCCCCAGTTGAAAATGCGCTTCCTCCTAGAGTGGATCGTTTGCAGCTCCTTGCCTTCGTACTCCTCCGGTGCTGTGTAACGCCAACGAAATACACATGATGTCAAGAATATATGAGAATATATGTGCCGGTATTTCCACGCACTGTGTGTTTAAAACTTATGTAGGTAGAGTCATATATGTATCCCTTATACGACTGACATAAGGTATCTATTACCTGAAAACATGGGATTTTTACTGATGTACATAATGATGCATTTAACAATGCATAATCTTCACAAGAACTTAATAAACATAATTTTCCCTCATAATTTTCCTCGGTGCTCGTCTTAACACATGCAAAGACACTCACACTTACACGTGAGTCAGGACACGAACAACCCGTGCCATATACCGTGATGGCGCTGCGCCGCATAACTCAGAACCAAGATCGGAACAGCTGTACGTACGTGCGATCGATCCGCGGACGTGGACGTTTCCCAGCCCCACCTGTCCCTCTTCCTCCGCCCAGTCAGCAAAATGCACCTTGAAGAGAGCCGGTTCGCCACCATCGATACAGCGGGTGATCGGAGTCCAGTTCGGGTAGCCGCGGCCCTTGAGGTATTTCTTGAGAACGGATAAAGACACGGCAACAACTTTCAGTTACACTTCCACAGCTCCTTCAGTTAACTTTCGGTTGACGGCCAACAGCTTTCCGTCGCGGAGGTTTCGTCAAGCGTATATGTAAAGCGGAAAAAACAAAAAAAGTGCAAATGGGTTTCGTACTTAGGGCATGTATCGTTTTTATCTTGCGTTATATTGAATTTATGTTTTTTATGGGTGCACATACCATTGCGTTGTTCATGGCACCGAGCCTCTCATCCTTAGTCGACTGCTTGCCGATCCACACAAAGATACCGCTTTTTCCTCCGTCAATAATGAAGCAGTCCTGAAACACAATGCAGGGCAGTGTATAGTTATCTTGCTACTAATTTGTGCGGCAAGTAATTTAATTTATTTTGTTTTTCATTTCCTCTTCCCTTACACTCCACCCTCCCTCTCTCAACCTCTCTCGATCTCGCTCTCTCTTTCTTTCTTTCTATCTCTCTCTCTCTCTCGCTCTCTCTTTCTTTCTTTCTTTCTTTCTATCTCTCTCTCTCTCTACATATATATATATATATATATATATACACCTTTTATAATAATTATGAGCTTTATTAAAGAAAAAAATACAACTGAGATAAATACCTGAGAGTCCAGCATGTCCTGACTAAGAGGTCCCTCAGACACCTTTACTGCCTTCAGCTGTCCCGAGGCATCACTCACTCTATAACGTACAAACATATGCACTTCATGAATTCTCAACACAATCAACGACACTGCACATACGTACGTGAAATGTACATCGCAATAAATTCATGAGACAATCAAGAATAATAAAAGGACATTTGAAAAACCTTCGATAAATTATGGATTGAATACAGTGAATGCTCTAACTATAAGACTCTGTTAATAACAGACAATGAATAAAGTCATCAGAATGTACAATAATAGTAAGGCATGCAGTCTAAAACTTTGAGAATAAGTAGCCTTTATGAATAATAAAATAAATCTTGATAAGCAATTAAGCTCATTGTATTGCTGAAAATATAAAACAGATTCCAACCAAAAACTATACCAAACTATACTTGCACCATATATACTGTTGTCAGAATTGTTATGAAGCTTGGTTAAAAGTACGTTAATAGTGCAAGCATGTGTAAGAGTTAGTGCTAGCGATGTGATCATGCAGTGCATATGTGATAATGGAACCTTCACCTTTCCCACCCTCCAAAAAGTCGTGCTGTAATTGTGCCCAAAACCATATTTATTGCAAACTCACCCCTCTGCATCCAATGGAAGTCTGTTATCAAAAATGACGATTATCTGTTATATTGTAAATTAATGGATACAGCTAGATAGATACCATTTCTATATCTATAATTCTGGCGAATATGAAATAACAAAATGGAAAATCTGCATAACATTGTAAGTCAATTGTTTAAGTAACAACAAAACATGACCATTACATGCATAATATGGTATGAATGCATTTGTGTTAAATACTAGCTATACTTGTTAACATGAAAGTTACATGCCTCTAATCAGGTATTATACACATGCATTCATTAGCCTCTTTAAATTCATTCATTCCTAAAGAATCTTTAACAGAAGACGTTTGGAAACTAATAGGAAGTTTTTAACAATGTTTGATATAGTGTCCATGCATCACAGCCATCTATTCCCAGAGTCCCCCCTTTATCCTATTTAATATAAGTCCCGAGTGTTATATTATTAGTTATAGAGTAAATTATTGATTCTCAGCGAGTTAACAAACGCAGCAAGGAAAAGTGTCTGTTTCTGGTTTTCAACTCCATGAGCATTCATACATCTACGATGTATTCTGTAAATATTCCGTATGATGTACAAATTAACGAGTACAGTACTTCATTATAAATATAACTCGTGCATTAATTGCTACTCGAAATGCAAACTATAAGGACCTACGGAAGTACTGTAGAGTACTTGTACTTGTACTTGTGTAAGTACTTTCACAGAGGAAACACACACACTGCTCTACTACCTTCTCACGAGCATAGAGCATCGACCGACAGGAAGGGAGAGCGTGGGTGTTAGAGACGAGCACGCGTACCTGTATAGCGCAGTCTGTCCCTTCGTATCTTTAATGTTCTCGTCGTCGGCTCCCCCCTCGTCTGCTGACTGAATGTCGTCTCTCCCACCGAGCGCCTCGAAGAATGGCTCGTCGTTAGTCTGTCCGTCTGCTCACAGAAAATGCTCCTGCATCAGTTTATCGTTCTCATACATCGTCTCTTCTACGTGAACTAACTAACTGGACACTGTTTATCAGACTGGATGGAACACACTCGACTGTCATGGAGGTTTCACTCAATCCACACATTCTACATACACTATTTCTCTATAGTATAGCAAATGTGAAACATATTTCAAGCTATAAGTAATTTTTAGCAGTGTAGGTATTGTGTCGAATCGTAATCTTACCCAAGAGAACGACATCAGCTCTGCCCGCCCTCTCATCATCTCGGATGCCATTTGCCACTTGGATTGCCTGTAAGAAAATCTCCGAACTTTAGTATAACAATTTCAAGATGTCAGCATATATGGCAAAGCGGATAACAATTAAAGCATCAGTTTCCCATGTATGACACTGCATTGCAAACATTATTCATGATTTCTAGACAGTAGCAAAGCCTGCATGGGCAGAGCATATATGCAGACATGTACAGCCAGTATAGTATACAGTATACAGTATACATGTACAGTATTGTATGCTTAAGAGCATATAGAGATACAGGCCATGTTTACGTGGTATCCACCAAGAACATTAACCACCAAGAATGGAAGCGAAGAACTTGGGTTAATCACAAATATTATAACCTTACTGCATAGTTACTTATTATCTCTTACATAAAGGGCGAGTCTGTTTTTGTGTCTGTCCTTCTGTCTATCTTCTCCCCCCTCGTAAGAGCTCACCCCC